TCAATTCTCAAAACTGTGGAAGTTATTGTACTTTCAAATGATTAACATCAACTCTTTCTCAAGAAATGCCACGCCCCTTTTCAGTAACATAATCATGTGAAGTGTTATAACTTAGTGTCTGACAATGTTTTTTCCAAAACTTTCAATTGCAAATATGTTCAAAATGAATGTACCTATATATTTAAATTCATTTTTGTTCATGGATGACTAAGACTGGTCACTCAGGCAGCAAGGTATTGTGCGATACCGTTGTAAAGAGGCAAAAATTAAGATTAATGATGTCACATTTAATGCAAATGAGACTATTTGCATAATTATTAATCTCATAATTTGGGATACTATAATAGCTTCATTTTGGTACCACTTACAGCTTTCAATTCTCAAAACTGTGGAAGTTATTGTACTTTGAAATGATTAACATCAATTCTTTCACAAGAAGTGCCACGCCCCTTTTCAGTTACATAATCATGTGTCTGAAAATGTTTTTCCAAAACTTTCAATTGCAAATATGTTCAAAATTAATGTACCTATATATTTAAATTCATTTATGTTCATGAATGACTAAGACTGATCACTCAGGCGGAAAGGTATAATGCGATACTGTTGTAAAGAGGCAAGAATTATGATTGATGATGTCACATTTTATGCAAATGAGGCAATTTACATAATTATTGCATCTGATAATATAGGATACTATAATAGCTTCATTTTGGTACCACTTACAGCTTTCAATTCTCAAAACTGTGGAAGTTATTGTACTTTGAGATAATTAACATCAACTCTTTCAAAAATTCAAGATGGCCGACAAGATGGCCGCCAATGGATACCATGAGACAATATTTCATTCTGGGAACATGCAAAAATCTTTAGTATGGACCTTTAGGATTACAAAAATGTACATTAAAAAAATACATCTTTCGGGTGCATGGGAACCCTTCCTTCCTACCCGTCTATTTATAGATGCTCTGATAGCAATAATGGAAATCTAAAATGGGACCAAGAATTTGTTTTCACATTTCAATATATCTACTGAAGAGAGTTGTTAAAGTATGCAAGGCTAGTAAAATCCTAATCAATTTATAGTACATGATAATGGAATGGAGCTGGTCTGTTATTCATTCAATTAGTTAAATATGGAATCAGATCTAGTAAAGAATAGTAGTACTGTAGTATGCTGAATAGTATACTGACAATGATTGTAATGTTTAAACTTTAGAATGTTTTGGGCTCATATATCATTTGTTCTCATGTCTATTGTCTAAATATCCCAAAAGTGTTTACTTTATTTGAGGAAAACTAAAGATTCTTATAGTAATGCATTCATTTGTCTATAAATATGGTTTGCATTTTTATTATTTTGGAGAATTTAGTTATTTCCCGCCACTTTTGCACTTTGAATCCTTTATAAATTCACCAATATATAACATATCCCAGATCTTTTGGGAAATATTATATTTGAGATTGTAAGGAATATATTCGTAGGTGAATTGTTTACGATGCTTGCAATTTTGTCATGGCCTAAAGATCTGATTCTGCCTTTAATAAATTGTGATGTTTTCTCATTTTAGATAATTAGTTCCAATCCAATTAGGCCATTTACAAATTACATGCCATAAATTATGCACGAGACTCTAAAAGTCATGGTGAAAAATGTCCCTATTAAGGAATCCCAACTAATCTGAAAATCTCAGATCCATTGTCTATTGTCCATTTTTTCATCTCTCACCCCTTCAGGTATTAAGAAAATGTTAAACCTTTTTCTATTGAAAATTTAATTCTGAATATGACACAAGCTATTTGTTGTGAATATGTCGTGATGCAATATCCATATTGAATAATAGATAATAAACTAGATTGGATCAGCTCTATGATCCGTGGGTTGTTTTTTGTTCACTGAAGAAAAAAAGTATCTTTTTGTATTTGCTGGATTTCAATGCAGTTAAATGGAGTTCCAAGACAAATTGGCCAATGGAAAATTGCCTTAATTTTGGGACATCCAATAGTTTAATGGGAAAAACTAGAAAAACAGCAACTCCATGGAGTAGCAAATACCACTGAAAAAAACATATTTTTTGATAATAAGTGGCCATCTTGAATATTTCTTCCTGAACAGAGCATATGACATTATAAGATTTGAACCAAATCCATCCACTGGTATTTGAGTGAGAAAAGATAATTTTTCTGAAAATTTTTTATCATTTTAAAATTCAGCTGCCGTTTTGAAAGGATCCGTTACCTAATGTACCTGAAGGTGCCCCCAAAGGTTTCATTGAAAATAATATGGAAATAGTTACTTTTACCAATTATGAACACATCAAAAATGAAATTAGGTCATTTGGATTAAAACTAAGGTCATTCAGTGCATTTAATTAAGTTTGACTACGCAAATCATTCTAAATATCATTTTAGGTGTATGCTAGTCCACATTCAAGTTTATTTTAAGTATGTTGACCAGTCCTCAATCGATATATCAGAACATTGTTAAGGTAGGACACAAAGGGCAACATATTGAAAACACATATCATAAAAAAACTAAAAATTTAATATATCTTTTGAAAAAATGAACCTTAATAAATGTGTTCTCAACAATACTACCATGATTACAATGTACCTCAGTTGGTAAACAGTAGGCATTCAACCTAGAGGGTATATTAAAATATCATTAAGGTGGGACACAAAGGGCAACATACTGAAAATACAAATCACAAAATAACCCCTAAAACTAGTATATCATATGATAAAATAAACCTTGTTAAATGTGTTCTGAACAATAGTACCATGATCACCTTTATTGTGTATACTGTAGCTTTAACCTAGGTATTCAACCTAGATACTATGTCAAAACATCATTAAAGATAAGATAGAACACAAAGAGTAACAGTTGGAAATACAAAACCTTAATTCAAGCTAGATGTAGTTGTGACTTTCCATTGCATTATATTTTCATTTGGCATTGCCAAAGAAATTAAAACAATGATAGATGACATAATGGTCTGAGTTTATTTCATATGAACACTTAACAAGCAATATTCATTCAAACAAATGACTAGCCGAAACATATTTTTTCGATTATCAGGCTCATTGCTTACATATCACATGTTCTAATAGTATACCCCATGAACAGATTTTTGAAAAACATATTTTAAGTTACCTGTGATTAATAAAATGACACATGTTTTCTTTCATCTTGTTATCATTGAAAATTGAATACATGTCTGTTTAGAGGTTTGAACATGGTGCTCAGAATTATCTATGGGAACCTGGGTTGGATGTCTCTGTGGCGTGATACGTTGACACAATCGTTATTGTAAATGACAGAGTTTGTTGGAAGGTTCAGTCCAGAATGTCTTTCCAAATAAGATTTTCTATTTTTGTAGAAGGTTCTATGTTGCACCTACCTTAAACAATACATTCAAGGCAGAATGGATTCTAGACTATAATGGCAATTTCAATATGGCCTCCTTTTTGAAACTAAAATTTTGCTATACTTTCAAATTGTGTATCTTCCACACTTAGGACCCTCTCTTATTTCATGTTTGAATTATAAAATAGTGTCAATACTAAGCAAAAAAGGTAAATTCAGAGGGGGTCTGGTTTGTGGAAGTACCTCAATCTGTCAATGAATGGAGAAGGTCATTCACTGTTTACAACAAAAACACAATAGGGTGTCTTTCAATACAATAGGATTACTAACTATCTATGCATAAATGGCACATGAAATGAAGCTTAGTTGATTAGGAGACATTGTAGTTCTTATATTGACAAGTGAATTAAGTCTATCTACAAAACTCAAGATTTTAATCAAGGTTTTGTGAAAATATGTCAAAATTACTCATTTGAAGAGTCAACATGACATGTGTTAAGAATCACTGTTAAAAACACCTTTTTACCATATTTTCCACACTATTTTTGTGATTTGTTGAAAATATACTTAATAAAGATTCAAATTGCATAAAAATAATTCTGGAATTCCATTTTACCCTTTTCAATAATTTTCTAAGTTCTTATAGGTACACTAATAGGTACGGATCCTTTCTTCTTGAGCCAAGCTACTTTGTCCTAAGGTAGCGATATATAAAACTGACCAAGTCTGTCAACTGGTATTTGAGTTATTAAAGATTTCATTTTTAACGACAAATGGCGGCCATTTTGGTGGAAGAGAGGTAATCCCTAGCTTATTCACTTAGGGAGAAAATTCAATGAAATGTCTATCATACAAAGAGGCTACTTCAATTTGGCACAAATAGCTTTATGATTTTTTCTTTTTTTGTGGGACCAGTAACAAATTGAAATGAAGTGGTCCAACTTGGCGACTAACATTTCTCAAGGACAACTTCCCTTGAATTTGTATTGGTCCTGAGGACCACTACTCAATTTTAAGGACCAAAACCTCTGAATGGTGGCCATTTGATTAATAGCAGCCATCTTGAACATTTCTTCTTGAGCAGAGCTCCTTTATTTATCTCTAAGCATCAGCATATAAATTTTGAATCAAATCTGTCCATTGATATTTGTTTTATCAAGGATGAATTTTTTTACAAAAATTGGAGGCCATTTTGGACTTCCTTGATAAACAAAAAGGAATGGAAAGATTTGAAAGAATGGATTTGGTTCAAATTTTATATGCTGATACCTTGAGACAAAGGGGTCCATTCAAGAAGAAATTTTCAAGATGGCTGCTATTTATCAAATTATGTTTTGTTCAGTGGGAGTTGCTGTTTGTACATGAATTATAAAATTAAGGTTGAGCAACTTTTTGTCTCGTCGAACTTCATCATATATGCATACAAATCTTCAGAACTTCTTCAAAACTAGAAATATTCCAAGTTTCAGTATCATTTGCATGGTCTCATAAACATATTTGTAACAATCAACCATTACATGTTTTTCATCTTCTTATCAGCTACATGTATATAGGTTTTGTCACTTTGTACAGTTGAAATTTAAAATGTTAAGTAAAGGCATAATGTTCACCATTTAGGCATTTGTTCACCTTTAAGGCATATGTTTACCATTTAGGCATATGTTGACCATTTAGGCATGGTGTTCACCTTTTAGGCATATGTTCACCATTTAGGCATGGAGTTCACCTTTTAGGCATATTTTCACCATTTAGGTATATGTTCACCATTTAGGCATATGTTCACCATTTAGGCATATGTTCACCATTAAGGCATAATGTTCACCATTAAGGCATGATGTTCACCATTTAGGCATAATGTTGACCATTTAGGTATGATGTTCACCATTTAGGCATATGTTCACCATTTAGGCATATGTTCACCATTAAGGCATATTGTTCATCATTTAAACATGCTGTTCACCATTGCCAGATGTATTACTCTTTGATTTTTTGTTTATACGTTGATTTCCATCTTTTCTCCCACACCACAGTTCAAATAGTTTATCACGAAATATTCTCCCAACAGCATTGTAGATAATAAAGTTTATCGAAGAATTCATGACGAGAAGTATAGCAACTACATTCTTTAAATCTCGCACAGACATAAACTGAAGTATCGCACTTGGTAGAATGAGACACAGGGAACTAATTGAAATGGTTATTAGGATATATGAGACTTGTTTATCATCAATTGATGGCATTCCTTCTTCAACAGGCTTACATTTACATACTTGACGCAGTATAAGCACATTGAAAATAGTGATTGATATTGGTGGGATTGCATATGCAAATGCCTGGTAAATGAAAAGTGGAGCAACACTTGTTTCTGCGAAACGTGAATGAAGATCTAAACCTAAAAACCAACATTGCTCTCCAATATTAACATTTTTTAACACGATAGCAAACAGAACTGTCACTAACACAATGCAGAATGTTACCATGGAGATAATCAGTACAACAGTTGACTTCCACGTGCATAATGTTAATGCCTTGAATGGCATACATATATGAATGAACCGATCAATAGTGACTAGAACAACCATCCAGATGGTAATAATGCTACAGTATGATGCCAGTATCCCAAGTGAAAACTTCCACGCAGCATGTAATGGAACTTCCAATCCAATATGTGTCATCGCTTGATCCATTATGGTAAAGAACAGGAAGCAAAGATCAGTCATTGCTAATGTTGTCAAAAGCAACACCCTGGGACTACGTTTATATTTCCTTATAAGGACAATCGCAGAGAGGATGTTCCCGATGAGTCCAAGTATCCCAACACAAATGATAATCCAGGAGAGTGTCACACCAGTAAAATTACACAAAACTTTTGTGCCAAGTCTCTCACAGTCCATGCTGTCATGAAGTGTTACTGTCATGTCCTGTCCTGGAGTTTTTATTAATCTTCCACTAGTGTTCATGGCTGTGGAATTATGGTGATTTGGATGGCTATAAATGTTATAACGTTTGCAATCTAGGGTCTCCTTATTGATACTTGCATCATTTCCGCCTTTATCTTCAGTGATTAATCCTTCTGTCCTCATGGCTTTGCTATGCATACCTTTTGCTGACAGTCCTTTACCTTTAGCTGCCATTCCTTTTAGTCCTCTGCCTTTAGACATCGAGTTTCCTTGCTAGATCTCGTACTGTTCCACCCGCTGCTGTTGGAAGTTTGCTCTGGTCTATTATTGCATTGCAGATGAATGTACAGTAAAACCTGTCCAATTGAACACATCTATAAGGTGCCTGTCAACAAGAAACAGTTTTTAAAAGAACCAAATATTTGTCCATTGACTTACATGTTAACAGACCAGTTTCAACCGAGAACAAGGGAAATTGGTTATACTGACTGTACATTCTATTGTTTTTCGGAGGTGTGAATGACTTAAGCCAATATCTGATTCTAAAAAGCTTAGATTAATGTGAATGAGATTAGGATGAGCCAATTATGAACAGGTTGGGACATTCCACCCACCGTTAATTATCCTCTTAGATTTTTTAAAATACAATGTTTTAATCTGTTTTTATTATTTGCCATGACACAAATGCAAAACTTAAACAAAGCTTGACTAGTCCACCTGTATAGCGTATAGCGCAGCAGTACAACATGTACCTCTTGCGCAATAGGTCCTGGATTCGATCCTCAGTTCAGGCAAGACTTAATTTGCTTGTTTCCGTAAAGTAAAAGTACTTCAGGGTGTGACTGAGTGGTCCACAACTCGTACAAAAGGCTGTGGTGTGTACTTGTATGTCTATCAGTGCTCACCTTAAAGCAAAATTAGTCACAGGACCAAGGGACTGACAAGTCGGAGGAGTTCACCAGTCCAGACCAAAAGTAGCCAGTCCCTGGACTGACTACTTCTAATTAGTAGCCGGTCCAGACTGGTTCTTGCCAGTCCAGGAAAAAATGAAAAATCGGAGTAACTTTCAAATTTTACATAGGCCTACTCAAATTTATGCTGTACATGTATTTTCTCATTCTCAGTAATCCGAATAGACTGTCAAACACATTGAATTTGCTAGCATGTGTTTTCACGATTTTGCCAGGTGTAGAGTACTCGCGAAATGAAATGATTGTGAAAAAATCATGCTTTACAACAAATCTGAAAATACTGGAGCCACCCGGGAATTCGATTGTAGTATGAACTTTGGGTGTCATTTTTCATACAAATGCCTTTTATGTCCATAATATATCAATGCCTTACCTGATTATCAATCGGACTTTGGACCATAATTTGGTGAGTATTTTTATGCCGGACACTCGGACTGACAGTCTCGCAGTCCTGGTCGGCCCAGAGCAATAGAAGTCGGATTTGTCCCATGGTCCGACGCATAAGGAGAGCACTTATGTCTATATATGGGTGCACATAAATGAACACAGGGCTCCTCCAAGGAGGGGTTCCTGGGTCTGCCTTTCATGATTACATAGATATATATGGGATATACCCAAGAGGTATTGCTCACCTTCATTGGTGTTAAACAAGGTACAATACAACGACTAGTTGTGCTCATCTAGAGATTGACACAACTATGTTTGGAGATGACCAAAATTTCTTTGTGACGTGTTGAGCTAAATTTTAATATCAGAGATACGGCTTCTACATAATGTATGCCACTGATATCATTTTAACTAATAGACTAGATGCAAGTAGAAATAATCTTGGTTTACATCATTAGATATTTAAAATTAGTCAAAGTGATATAATGTTTGAAATCTACATGTAAAATTAAATTGAGAAATCGGATTTCCAAAATTGTTCATCAACTTTGAGAAGGAACGTTTAGGTCAGGTATATTATAGACTCGTTGTAGTTATATAATCACAAAAAGTGAAATATCTTTTCTTGTGTCAGACAGATGATGTTTTCTGTCCATTTGTCTGTCTGTCTATTAAATGACTAGGAATTGCATGGACCACAAACCAAGGAGAATCTTTTGAAAATTTAATAGGACAACAGGGCAATATTTCTCAAGTGTAGCAATGATTATACATCAGAGGTAGTTTGGGTAGATAAGCATTGATCTCCCCAGCATTAAAGCAAGTAGGCGCAGCACCCACCTGAGATTTTAAAAACAGGCATGCATCCACCTGAAAATCCATTTGCATCCACTTGAAAATGAGAAAAATCATGAAAAATGAACATCTTTTACAAATTTTGGTCTGAATTTGAAAATGAGAATTTTGCACCTACTTGAGAAAAAATCCTGTGGCGAATATCCCAGATGCGAGTAAAAATAATCTTGATTTACGTCATTAAAAATTCATAATTCAGTCAAACTGATGTCATATTTGGAATCTACATGTAAAATTACATTTAGAAATGTGGTTTTGAAAAGAGTTTAACAACTTTGAAAATTTAATTTTCTTTGAAAATGTGACTTCTAGGTCGGGGAGATTCCCCGTAGACCCCATGTTGTAAAACCACAAAAAGTGAAATATCTTTTCTTGTGTTTGGCAGATAATATTTTCTTTTACTGGACATATTTTAATATGCGAATTTTGTAATACCCTGTCATGTTAATTCCCCCGAATCAGCCACCTGGTGGCGAAACTGGTAACTACCTACTCGCATCTGAGTAATTCTAATAAGCTTTTTGTCCTTCTGTTCTCTGTCTTTGCAATAACTCAAATACTGCTCTGATAGCAATGATGGAAATCTTAGATGGGACCAAGAAAGTGTTCACATTTCAAGTTGTCTGCCAAAGAGAGGTGTTAAAGTATGCAATGTTTTGCTGCTCTTGGACTTTTTGTTGAAAAAAACCTCATCAATTTTACAGTACATTATAATGGAAGTGAGGTGATCTGTGTTATTGATTCCATTAGTTAATGAATGAATAGTCATGTGTGTGTTTTTTTTAGATAATTTGCTCTTATCCTAATGGGCCATCTACAATTTACATGCCATCAATAATGCACGAGACTCTGAAAGTCCTGGGAGTTTTCTTGTTTTCTTTTCATTTAGCGAAAGGAGGAAATATACCTCTATTAGAGATTAACGAGAAACAACATTCCCAATATCATTTTCACAAAGGAATCTGAACTAATCTGAAAATGTCAAAGTCTTTATTCATTGTTTTCAGCTTTCACCCTTTCAAGTAAATGTGATGCGATATCCATAATATTTAATAATGATGCACTAGATCGACTCTATGATCCATTGGTTGTTTTTTGTTCCCTGATGTAAGAAACGTTTCATTTTTCCAAGAAAGGTCGATGAGCAGTATGGCAAGTGATTTTAGACGGTCATATCTTTCACCATGGGTACTTTCTGGCCATAAATACAGTGGTTTTTTTAAAACAATATGTCTTCTTTCAAGTGAAGTTCCCATGGTAGTTTTATTTGGAACAACGTTATATATAATATTATGAGTTTCACTTTTTTGAACTTTTCTATTTATTTTTTTATTTATGTGTTTCCAGTGTGAGTCTGCGTGAGATGATGCGCAGGGCTACAAGTGCTGCCAGGGCTGTCAGTGGATTAGACTCTGGTCGAGATGGGGAGCGAGAGGATGCCAGTATTGCTATTCCAACCCTCAGCTGGCCCCCAGTTGATCCCCCAAGCTTCGAGAGTGTCCGTACAACAGAACCAGAACGTAGATCATCAGTGTCTACAACCAGCACTGGCACGTCACCAAATGTGCCTCTTGTAGCCTCTTCTTCAACTGCCAATCAAGAAACAGCGAATAACAAGACAGAGGAGAAGGAACGTAGAGCAAACGCTTTAGCAATATTGAAGCTGCTTTGCGAATTTTTACCTCTGAAGCCATTCCTGCTGGATTTGCTGCAGGCCAAGTAATTAATTTAAACAAAATCCATTATTTTTGATTAAAGTTTGATTAAGTGAAAAGTAACAGTTTCCATGGTCATTTCTCATCAATCACAATGTTATTAGACACTAATAGACATGGAACCATTATGTTATTGTTAATGTGATGAATAACAATGTCAAGTTATGAGTAAAAAATGATTTTTATTCGGGTTAATTAACATGCAGGTATATAAGAGAGTTCCCTTAATCTTGAATATACATGTAATCAGTTTAAATTAATCAATTTTCATAAAATCTTTATGTGTATGATAGTTATACAAGCGAAAATATGTCCAGTAAAAGAAAATATTTGCCCAACACAAGAAAAGATATTTCATTTTTTGTTGTTTTGTAACATGGGGTCTGTGTTGCTTGTTGCAGAAACATGGAAGGTCACACCCCATTCATGCAGTCGGTATGTGGTAGAGCCTACCCTGCTGGTGTTGTCATAGTAGAGACAGCTAAGAAGTTATCAGGGGGCAGCAAAGAGGTGATGATGACCATGTTGTACCCCCCTGGTTCTAGCCTAGACAACTCCCCACTTCACCTTCTCTGCTCAAATGACACATGTAGCTTCACATGGACAGGGGCTGAGCATATAAATCAGGTGAATATGTGTATATGTAACAAAGTCAAATTATAAGCTAAGAAAAGCACTCATATTTTGTTTTAGATACTGTACTTTAGATTATGATTTTATAGAAATGGCAGTTATGATAATTTTTTTTGATTTTAAATAATCATCAAAATTCTTCCTTATTAATAACTATTGATTTTTATTTCTCTTATTGCATTTAAACATATTACCTAGGCTGTGTTGCTAGCTGCTGTATGTTCATGTGTATTTGAAGATTTTGTAGAAATATATAATCAAAATTTTTGAATTCTATGTATATTAAATTCTTTGATTGACAGCATGTGTACATGGTATATAATTGTTGTTTACAGGACATATTTGAGTGCAAGACATGTGGTCTCCTTGGCACTCTGTGTTGTTGTACTGAATGTGCCAGGGTTTGCCATAAAGGGCATGAGTGCAAGTAGGTCAACTATAAAATACTCTTAGGTTGTTATAGTTGAAACAGAATTAAAATGGCATTTTAAGCAATTATATCCAAATCTTGTCAAATATAAATGAATCTATGGAAGTGTTGTCATTATAAGATGGATGTAGGGCTGTATCAGCCTTCTTAGTTTCTATTGGCTTCAATGTAATTGCTTTCTTCAATGTAATTGCTTAGGAATACAGAATAGTTTTGGATTATTTTAAACATAGCCTAATGCCTAAATTGAGATCCCAAATTTGAGTCACGGCAACTGTTTGGCATCCATAACTTCCCCAACTAGAGAGAAAAAATATGCACCATCAAATATATGGAGAAGCAGTATGATGTAGATTTTCTATATCGATTTCGTGAAGCTACTGCCACTGTGCAGTGTACACTGTAGGGCAAATTTGACTGAGGCTTTAGACACTAGATGAGTTGAAATAAGATTTATGCCTTTTACTGATATTATTCAGTGAGTCTCTTGTCTTTTCAGATTAAAGAAAACTTCACCAACTGCCTATTGCGATTGTTGGGAGAAATGCAAATGTAAATCCTTAATTGCTGGGAATCAAACTGCGAGGTTTGACCTCCTCAATAAACTACTAGCAGAGACTGATCTTGTGAAACTGTCAAACAGTAGGGGTGAGAATATATTATTATTCCTTGCTCAGACCACAGGTAGACAGCTGAATGAACAGAGGCAATACAGACCCAGTAGCTCTAGGAGCCGGGCAGCCAGAAAGACGGTGGCGCCTGATCTAGAGCCTGAGATGCCCGAACATGACCTAGAACCTCCACGGTTCAGTCGTCGGGCCCTTGAGAGAATTCTGAATGATTGGAATGCTGTTAAGGCTGTTGTAATGTGTGGCAGCAGAGAGAAATGGGATGTTCCCACCGAGGGTATGTTTGAGGAACAGGCCTATTTAGCCAGTCAGTCAGGCACAGCAAGACTGGATAAGTTCACACATTGTCTCTTAGTCAAGTGCACAAGCGAGGTAAGTTGAACTTGATATAAATGTAATGCTTTCTCAAATCTTTACTAAAATCTCCCCAATTTTTGTTGAGATTATAAAATATCCAATAAATGAAAAACATCATAGCACACATGGGTGAAATCACTTGGCATTATAGTGGTCTAAAAAAGCATTGAAAGAAGGTCAAAGTCACTGTTGAGGGTTGAACACAGCTATATCTTAATTTGTGGCACTTATTTGTATTCTCCTGATGCCATTAACTAGGAACTGTAAATCTTGGATACATTACTACCTGTGTAGTATCCTATTTTTCATTACCTATATATCTTGGCTCTCCACAACAATGTTAATAGTATGAGAGTAAATCTATTAAAACAGCAACCAATAAAATATCTGCCATCTTCTCTTCACCTCACTAAAATAACTGATTTATTCCAGATGTTAGATACAATATTGACTACAATTATTCGTGAGATGCAGAATGAGTCTATTGAAGGAAGGAAACTGGAGGCCAAATCTGTAGGAAGGAGATTTGTCAGATCTGTTGCGAGGATATTTGTCATCATCAGCATTGAACTGCAACCATCATCAGCTAAGAAGAAACCGTAAGCATTTATCATTATCTTCACTTCCACATGCTAATGTTACATTGCTATTTTTGATTTATTTGGATGAAATGTTCTCACATTTTCCATTTTAGTATTTCAATCTGCAATGATTCATTGTCCCTAGAACCGAGCACATTATTTCGCAATCAATTTTCTGAAATCAGAATCTGAAACATTGAGGGTCAAATCCTATGCTAAGGGCTGATGTGAAAAGCCACTCCAACTTGGTGGGAATGACCCACAGCTTCCTGATTACGTGTGGGATGCTCTACAACTTAGCCTTACTAAAGATCCCCTCGAATATATTATCAAAAGATGCCCTTTAAGGTGTTCTGGTTTTAGAACTTTTTTGGATCAAATTTGCCCAGTTGGTGCTCTGGTAGTGGTTAGCAAGCATAAAAACTTCCAGCCAAATCCACTGATGTTTAGCCCCTCCCTCCTTTGCTCTGGAATTGTACTTTGAATATGATTGAGATAGTAATGATGGAACACCTTGTAGATAGTTTAGTTTGCATCTACTTTAGAAATATTTTCAATCATTCCTCTATTTAGGTTGTTGAATCTTGCTCAACCACTGGTGAAGTGTAAGCGGGCATTCCAGGCACTCATCAACATAGCAATAGAGGAACTATGTGAGACTGCAGACTCCCTAATAGCCCCAGTTAGGATGGGTGTGGCTAGACCTACTGCTCCTTTCCAATTGGTCACCTCCAATATAGATGCTATCCAGGTATGTTCTATTTCAACTGTCATCTCTATTTCAGCTGATCTTAGGTATTTTACAAAGAAGAATATGAATAAAATGTCTTTTCAGCACTCTTAAAGTCATTCAAAAACCCATTTTCTTGACCTGGAAAAGTTGGAGAATTTCAAAATTGCTGGAATGGTCAGGACATTATCGAATAACAAAACAATTGTATATAGCTGATGACTCCAGGGCTGTTATCTTGTTGTGGTTCTTATGTTATGGTAATGGTAATTATATGAGACTTTCCATTCCATATGTAACCTTCAATTTTAGGGAAGTGAAGAGTTGTTTTTGGTTGAACCCCTTCCTCCGCGATCATCTGGTAGTGGATCACAGACCCAGACAACCCCATCTGGTGGTGACAACATTGCTGAGCCTGCGGAAACTTCTAGAGACCGAGAAGAAGAGGACGTGGGGTCAGCAATTGATGGGGCTGAGCAGGATGATGTAGAAATCGGGGAAGGTGCAATTGATGAGAACATCGAACAGATTGAAGAGGACCGACACTCTGAAAGGTCCAACGTGGTTGAGGAGGCTGGTGGTGAGAGTGACATGGATCTAGACCTGCTGGCTGAATCAGACTCTGATAGTGAAGAAGAACAGGTTGTGGACGATGCTGCCAGTGTACAGCGTAGTGCAGTGACTGCAGCAACTGCTGGCTCTGAGGGAGGCATGGGAAGCCTGGCTTATTTCTCTGAAGAGGAGAGTGTGGGCTCTTCACAGAGGGATGATGAGAGTGATGCCAGTGAAGAACAAGATGATGTGTTGAACATTCTCTTTGATGAGCAACTAGAACGGAGAGTTACAACTCCAGGTTAGAGAACTTGAAATTGAAATATAGATGTATGATGGGATTGGTGGGAATGAAGAAAACAACTTTACACATTTCATCAGAATACTGATTTTTTGTGGAAAGTTTCATGCTTTATCTAGATTACTGTTAATGCACACTTAATCATACATTCTAGTGCACTGATTTCCAAGCACAAATAAAGGAAATGTGTAACACAATTGTATCTTTTTCTTATGGTGCCCCGTAAGGCAATTCTGCTCACCCATTGAGCTTCCTGTGCAAGAAAGAAGTGTCATGGCTACTCGAGTAGCTCAAATACAGAAGAGAATAATAACATTGTCTATTATCTATCAAATATGTAACCAATTTTCAGTTCTGCAACAGATTTAATTCATGAAGAGTGCATAATTATTTTGAGTGTGTATGACCCAGTGCCAATCTTTCTCCAGGGACAGGAAGTCAGAGAACAATACAGACCCCCCAGCCAATGCAGTGGGCAGTGCGTCAGCGGGACGCCTCCAACACCAGCAGGACTACTACCACCACAACCATGACAACACCATCTGGTGTCTCTGGCTATCGAGACATCCCACCACGCGATCCATTCCTTCCATCAGCGCTTCGTCAAGCGCCAACTGTCACATCCACCAGTGCAGCTCCTAGTCCCCATGAGCAGACCACTATGGCAACTACTGCCTCACAGCTAGCAAGAGGCTTCAGTATTGTTATCAGGCAAATAGCTGACCTGTTGACCATGTTACAGGACTACCATGCCCTTGCCCCTAGCCTGCCCTGCTGCCTTGATATACCCTTCCAGGAGTCCATGGATCTACAGGTATGTTTTGTACCACAGGGCATCTGAATTATTAATCTAGTATTAGGTCAGCATCTGTAACAAATGACAGGTTGTGACATTTTGCATGTTAATGCTTTGTATTTTAAATGCATGGGCCTTCTTGAGTTATTTGATATGGCAAGGCAAAATAAAATGGGAAGTAATACATATATCCAATTTTTAATATATTACTTAAAGGATCACCTAATATTTTGAGGTATTAGGCTTGAAAGGTATTAGACTTGAAACATAACGATGTGGTACACAAGAAGATTGAATTAAATATTATATTGACATTATGTTTCAGTTGTATCTAGAGTTCAGACTGAAGCCTACATGGGACTGGTTGATAGCTGTAATGGACTCCATTGAGGCCCAGCTGAGGTTTGGTTCAGCTATCACTAACAGCACAGACCCCACCCACCCCATGCACCCCCTCCACTCTTCCACCAGAGTGGGACTCAGAGATAGACAGACGAGAGATGAACAACCATCCACATCTTCCATCATTGACCCCAGGATACCTCGTAGAAGTAGATTTGGACTAGCAAGCAGTAAGAGCATTTCTCAGATGTTTTGAAATGAACAGGATAAACTGTACACACACTTGTATTGTGAAAACTGTGCATGTGTTTCTGAACACTATACCTTTAGTGAACATAAATTTAGCAATGTACATGTATTTTAATTCAAACATAAATCTAGAAACATATTTAAGTTGAACCAAGTAATGTGTACTTTAAAGTTTTGTACATCCAGAAATTGTATACAATTTGCATTTTTTTATATTGTAAACGGCTTCTGAAAGTAATTGAAATCTATTTAAGGTGCAGAGAGTAACAATGCCAGAAGGGACCTTTTGCAGTATGCACTATCCTTAATGAGGTCACATAACGATGAACACTTTGACAGTCTCCCAGTTATAGACATCTCAGCATTCAAGCATGTTGCCTATGTGTTTGATGCCCTGATCTATTATATGAGAAGTGGAACTGATGCAGATGGTGAACTCATACAGGATGGTGTTTCCATGCATTCCTGGCAAGATGAGAATGAGAATGATGAGACAGAGGATGATCCCCTGGATAATGTTGCCATGGAGACAGAGTCCCTCACAGGCGAGTCTGATCTGACAAACAAAGGAAGGAAACATTCGTTCTTCCAGAGGTCTGAGTCGACTACATTCTTAGGTTGTCCCCCACCAGATCCATTTGTACTCACCCTTGAGGAAGCTCTCCCTCTTGCTGACCAGCCACAGCTCCTCCAGCCAAATGCTAGGAAGGAGGATCTATTTGGGGCCCCAAGGCAACCCTTCTACACATCCCAATTGACCAGGGTGAGTGACTCCACTGGACCCTCCCCAAGTGTTCCTGCCCAGCCTAGTCCTTTTGATAAACTGCCCACCCATCTAGCCTTATCATCACGTACAAGTGAATCTACACCTGGTCAGACTCTGTCACAAGAGGCTCCCCTGGTTGAGAGCAGCACATCTATGGAGACTGAAAATCCAGCTGGTACTAGTGTCATAGTGGCTCCTCAGACCACTGGGGCAACCATGATGGACACATCATCATCTAGACTACTTCTTGGCCCTATTAACTCTGCCCCTAATGTAACCACAGGTCCCAGTACTACTACCACACAGACAGATACTATACTTACGGCTCCTGATGCCCCCAGAGGTGAACCAGAACCAACTCCTCCTGAGGTGGCCCCAAAGGATGCTACACCTACTCAGCCGACTGTGATAGTTCATGCTAGCCAGTCCCTGCCCCAATCCGTACTTGTCATGGCACCTGGAGCTAGTAATGCAGCAATACCCAATAAACCAACAGACATTGAGAAGTCACCCAGCTCTCTGGATACAAGTTCCACTGATCCCAGTGTGCCACAGAGTGTATCAGAAGAGCCTGGTATTCATTCTATCACAACCCCTCTGGAACTGAATATGCCTCAGCCTTCCACAGCCACTATAGCAGCCTCATTGGGCTTAGATACTACAGGCTCGACCTCCTCTACTCCACTAGGGGTGGCTGGTGTGTCCGGTTCAGCCATGGGGCCCCTGAACTTGGATACATCTAGACCTCTGTCTTCTAATACTGAGTCTCTAGCCATAGAGACTGCTAGTGCTACTCCAGATTCTCTTGCTTTGGATACCCCCAGCTCATCTAGTGCTCCTTTGAATCTTGAAACATCCGAGTCTGTACCAGGTCCCATTGCTGTGGATACTCCAAACTCTAGTACAGCCCCCCTAAACCTTGATACATCTAGTTCAACTCCGGGTCCAATTACATTGGATACATCCGTAGACATGGTGGGAGCCAATGAAAATGTAGCGAACACTGTCGACATAGAAACCTCTCAAGTCCAGGTCCAAAACACAGAAAATGAACCCAAGTCAAGTGGCCATCCTATTGGTCAGTTAGTGTCACATGACATTCTTCTGGGTCGCTGGAGGCTAGGATTGGATTTGTTTGGTCGTGTGTTCTGTGATGATGTGGGCTTAGAGCCAGGCTCAGTAATCAGTGAACTAGGAGGATTCCCTGTGAAGGAGGCAAAGTTCAGGAGGGAAATGGAAAAACTCAGAAATTCTGTCCAGAGAGATTTATCCCTTGAGGTATGTGATACTCTCACAAAATCCAAATAATATCTATTTAACAAGTTCTTGGTATTATTTCAATATCATGGAAGTGAAAAATTCTTTGGGCAAAGAGAATCTGTTGGAAAGCATATTGCCCCTTGAATACTTTAATTGGCAAATGTTGCACATATTTGACTTCATTTATTTCACTCCACTTAAAAATCGGTGAATGGTAAATCCTATATGGCATATGATATACTATTGATGTTTGACCAATCACAAAATATTTCTCTGACAAGGGCTGAACCAAATGCTGAAATCTGATTGGTCAATAATATATCATGTGCCATATAGGATTTACTCGCGTCCCTTAAAAATCCTTGAATTTTACATGAACAACCCCATGCCCACTTTTTGTATTCATCTTGAAAACATACACTATATGGCCAACTATTTTGTTCTGTGTGCAGGTTGAGCGTGACCGAGATGCATTGATTCAACAGACCATAAAGCAAATGAACACACAGTTCAACAGAAGAACAAGCACATCTGGACCCCCTCTTGCAGTCCACAGGGTGAAGGTGGTCTTCAAGGATGAGCCTGGAGAAGGAAGTGGGGTTGCTAGGAGCTTCTACACAGCATTCGCTCAAGCTGTTCTAGTGGAACGGAAAATACCCAACCTTGAATCATGCCAAGTTGGTGGTAAAACTTTGCAGTATAGTAAGTGAATGTCATTCTGAATAGCTCTCAACAAACTTATTCATGTCTCATTAAACTTAAAAATCATGGAACGAATTCTGAAGCGGATCAGATGTGTTAAATGCATTGAATAGTTATAATAGTTCAGTACTAGGGGTGAGAAGACAACCCGATGAGTCAAGGACTCGCGGGTTTGGGGCTTCGAGTCGAGTCGAATCGAGTCAAAGTTGATGAATTGAATCATTTTCGAGTTGAGAAAAAAATTCGAAAAAATAAAAAAATTCAGAAAAATACTGTCAATATGCATGTTTTTACTCGATATTGCGTTGAATATATAAGTTTCAATGACTTGGATATGCTTGTATTAAATTATTATATTGTATGTACACATAAATGAAAGAATATATGTAATAAAATCAGAATAAACTTACGACGAATTGTGTTTGTTTATATTTCCGGCTTTCCACCATTGACGCATTAAAAATACGAACGGTCAAAAGCGATGTTGTTCGCACTTCGCGCGACTCGAAACGGATTCGAAACTCGAATCGGATTTTTTCGACTCGTCTCACCCCTATTCAGTACATCTAATAAGTAATACTCTGAACAAACTTAATTTTGCAGTTCACTTAAATGCTTCATGTAATTTTTTTTTCAGATTTACTCCAGCGGTTGAGGAACCGGGAGCGAGAACGTCAACGTGCAAACACATTGCAGCGCCAACGTCGTGAATCCCGTCACGCTCTCTCATACACCGCAGTGCCATTCTTTATGCCCACAGATCTAGCAACCTCTGGGGGTAGTGCTGAGGGTGGGGAGGTTGCTGGGGCACCCCCATTGGCGGGAGAACCCAGTAGCAGTGTATTGACAGCCAGTCGCAGACAGATGGGTGAGAGGTTGTATCCAAAAGTGCAAGGTCTTCAACCAGTAAGTATACCTAGAACATGATGGTTTTTCAAATTACTTTCTCTGAAAACATAACTAGTGTTTTGTGAAACACTTTATCTGACATTATTTCAAGAAAGGTCTTAGTAAATAGACTTAAGCAACCTACCACTTATAAAGCTAGTTTAGGGGGATTTTAGTCTCATTGTATATTTTGGTATTACTTTTCATATTACTTGTGAAAACGATTGCTTAATTCTTTCAGCATCATAGTATAGCATATAGTATACTAACATGATGTTCATAGTTGAACTTTAATGTTTCAGTCTCTGGCACCAAAGATCACTGGGATGCTACTAGAGCTACCCCAGGCCCAGGTGTTGGTTCTACTGGCCTCAGAGGAGCAATTGAGGCAGAGAGTTGATGAGGCTGTTGAGGTGATCATGTCACATGGCAGGTGTGTATGTCTACTGCTATAAAGGAAAGGGTTTGTAGGGGTTAGATATAAGAGGGAGGCTAGATATATTCTCATCATTCTGAATATTCTCATTAGGTCTGGACAGCATTACTGGAATATTATAACCATAGTTTAGAATTGATGATGTCCAACTGACACAGGGAAAACTCCCATTTCCAAAATTTCTATGGCTTTAAAATGTAAGGTCTACAGGGTGGGCCAAAAAAAACAATACCCAAGTTTAAAGATGAATGATTCATATGATATATGTTAAACCATGCCATTTATTATATATCATTTCAAAGATAAATCATTTCCTAACAAAACAAAATGACACCATCCAATCGAAAATCCTTAGTTTCATGACGATTAGCATAGGACCAATGATCTATAAGGACTTTCCAATGTGGTCACTCAATTCAAAATGGCCACCACTATTGTATAAGCTTTGAGAAATTGTCTGATTTGTTATGTCACCACCAAAAGTGGTGACATATTGTTATGGTCTCCGTTTTTTTTTTATGTCACCACCAAAAGTGGTGACATATTGTTATGGTCTCCGTTTTTTGCGACGGCGGTTGGTGGTTGGAGGTTGGAGGTTGGCGTCCGGCGTCTGTAACAATTTCTTACAACTTCCTATAACTTAACAAATACTGTTTAGATTGACTTCAATTTTTTTCTAAATCATCTACATGTTCTCAGAAGTTCAAATCTGACTTTAGATTTGACATTTGACCTTCAATGACCTTCTCAAGGTCAAAAAGGTCTTTTTTCAACTTGCTTCACATTGACTAAATTTTTTTTCAAAATCATCTACATGTTCTCAGAAATTCAAATCTGACTTTAGATTTGACTTTAGATTTGACATTTGACCTTCAAATCTGACTTTAGATTTGACATTTGACCTTCAATGACCTTCTCAAAGTCAAAAAAGGTCAAAAAGGTCTGTTTTCAACTTGCTTCAAATTGACTAAATTTTTTTTCAAAATCATCTACGTGTTCTCAGAAATTCAAATCTGACTTAAGATTTGACTTAAGATTTGACATTTGACCTTCAATGACCTTCTCAAGGTCAAAAAAGTCAAAGAGGTATTTTTTCAACTTGCTTTAAATTGACCAAATTGTTTTAGGTGGTGACATTTTGTCATGTTAATGCCTTGTTTCAGATGTAAGCTTTGCCTTATGGGCATAGGACTTCTACTGAAGAACAAATTTGCAAGATGGACCCTTTAAATTTTTGTTCAATCATAAATGATAAAACAATTTGCATTATGATCTTATATTTCAGAGAAATAAGTGCTGAGGCCCTACTGGACTTAGATATCTTTAACCTGTCAACAGAAAAAATGAAACGTGTCACAGGACGCAAAAGTGATGTTGAAGAAGAGGAAGAAGAGGCCCAAGACAACAGCGCCCTCTTTTTTCAGCCCGGAAAGCAAGGCTACTATTCACCAAGACAAGGCAAAACAAGACCCGAGAGATTAAATGCTTTTAGAAATGTTGGCAGGTAAAAATGTAGAATATATATTTTGCAATGAACAAAATAAGAATAATGGAAAATATGGATATGTATACATAAAATGAAAATATTCCTCATATAAGGGCTCATGAAGTGATGTGTTTGAAGGAAAGACAGCATTGCTCAGTTATAAAAAATTGAAGACTTGTAGATACAACTTGTATGAATAGATAAATCATTTTCAATTTATAATTTTCTGTTCCTATTTCAGAATAATTGGGTTGTGTTTATTACAAAATGAAATGCTTCCACTGTTCCTAAACCGCCATGTATTAAAGTACTTACTTGGTCGTAAGATTGGTTGGCATGATCTTGCCTTCTTCGATCCCGTCATGTATGAAAGTCTACGTCGCCTGGTAGTAGATGCAGAGAGCAAAGATGGAGGTGGAATGTTTTCGTCACTAGACCTGACGTTTTCTGTAGATCTCAGTCTTGAAGAGGTGGGTCATCATTTCTTTTAACTCAATCGTTTGAATTTTATTTTATTTTTTATTTCAAAGAAAAACCATGTTAAAGTAATTGCAAAAAACAATTACAATACAGTTACATGGTAAACATAGATTTTACAATACAGTATTGGTTAAACGTTAGTTTTTTATTTATAAGTAACATAACATTGATAATACTCGAAAGGATACAATGTAAAATTCACATATCATGGGTATCAATATTGTGTGATGGATTGCATGAAAAAATCCTCAGTGACTGACTAAATCCCTCAAAACTCCATTCTTTTGATCCATGTACAGTCAGAAAGATGACAGGGAGGGTGACTATCAAATAATAATTATAGGCAAGTTCTACTTGATTGAAAGAAGCCTTAATGCATATATTTAGGGTTTAAATTACTTTGTCTAAAAATATATAAAAATGTGGGAACTTCCATACTACACTATAAGTTATCATAGATTTCAAATTTATCGCAAAAAATAAACGCTTGCAATGCCACAGTCACGGTGTGGCATCTGTTTAGTCCATTATTGGTAGCTGCACATACCAAGGGTGTTCAAAATGAATTGAAGGATGCTTTCAATCGTTATTATTAAGCATAATACCTCAATAAAATTCTAGATGTATATGGAGCCTAAATAATCATTATTAGTGAATTTTGTTATCCAGGGAGGAGGTCCAGTAGAACTACTGCCAGGAGGTGCAGATATAGAGGTCACTGCCAATAACATTCATGACTATGTCCGCCTGTATGCAGACCTACGTCTTGTTAAACAATCTGAGAAAGCTCTTGAGGCACTCAGAATGGGAATATTCGATGTGTTACCTCGTAGCTCCCTAGAAGGCTTAATGGCAGAGGATTTGAGGCTGTTGTTGAATGGTGTTGGTGACATCAATGTACAAAGTCTGATCAACTATACATCATTTAATGATGAGAGTGGCGAGTCTAGCGACAAGGTGCAGAGATTCAAACGTTGGTACTGGTCTATTGTGGAGAAGATGACTCCATTAGAGAGACAAGACCTGGTATGTAAAATAGCCATCTGATATAGCCTAATATGTGTAAACCTATGTAAAGTTTGTCAAGCTCAAAGGTAAAATGTCTTAATTTCACGGTAGGTTTTGAACCTTTCGTCTGATATTTTAATTGTAATAATAGAATGACACGCTTCAAAAAGGTAAATACACCTTGTTCATATTTAGGTGCAATATCGTCAGTTTTAAGTTTTCCCCATTAACTAACATATACTTTATGTGTTTGCAGGTGTATTTCTGGACATCAAGCCCTGCCTTACCAGCAAGTGAAGAAGGATTCCAGCCTATGCCCTCCATCACTGTACGTCCTGCTGACGACTCACATTTACCCACAGCAAACACGTGCATCTCGAGACTATACATACCTATATACACTACTAAACTTATACTCAAATCTAAGCTACTCACTGCCATAAAAACAAAGGCATTTGGATTTGTATAGGAAATAGAAGAAATTAATACATGGAAAAGACATTTTTGACTAAAAATTATGTCAGACTAAATTGAGGAATATCTCCCATGATAGAGAGAATATAAGAGAAGAGACCTAGTTTGACACTTCAAATGGGAGCCTAAATCTTAGTTAATAACAAGAAATGTCTCACGAATATGTCGGATAACATTTATAATCTCCAAGGCATGAAACTAATCAACACTCGTTGGATAAAATTGATAATCTCCAAGGCATGACACTAATCAACACTCTCACCAGGATACATGGATTGATATTACCCTACCTTGTAAAATGCCATATGAGAATCAGCAATTTCAATCTTAACCGTTTTCATTGGTTTAAATGCCCTTTCCATTAAGTTTTGGAAAGAAAAAAACTCATCTATCTTCACTGTATCTCAACACAGACCAGTGAATGACTCTTGTCGAATGCATGGGTAAGTCCAGTACTGATAAGAGTGTGGGACCATGGACATGATTGACTTTGTCCCAAGATAATTTAACTGAAATTGTAGGCTACCTGTAATCCTAATTTATAATCGAACCAAAAAATCAGTTTGAAATTACAGAATATTTTAGTGCAACATATGAAACTTAGTTTCTCATTTCATTTCATACCATAGTAGTATTCTCTGAATACATTGAATTTTGATTTAATTGAATATTGTTGTTTAGAACTAAGATGCCTCTGAGATACAGTATTAAGATTGGATAGAATAAGATTTAATTGATAGTTGTTTTATAGATTCCTGTCTCTTTGAACAAACATGAATCAGTTTAAAGAATTTTCTTGAGTGGAAGCTGATTGCTTTGAGAATACATGTAGATGAATTTGTTAAAGTCAGTATTCAAAGTAATAGGTTTCCAAGATAACGCAAGTCTTAAAAGCTTACATGTGAAAACATATTACATTTACAAAGGTTATCTTAGTTCACAATTTGTACATGACATGTACAATTTAATTGTATGGAATATTAGAAATAAAAATCGAAAAATAATTGTTATAAGGCACATGCAGCGCATATTGTCAATATCAAAATTATAAATTCTGGTGGCGACTTGTTTGCAACTGTAGAGGTGCCACTTTTAATCGTCTTCGTGTGATTCGATACAGCTGTACTGTTTTTTTTGTTTGTTTTATTCTCGGAATAACCGTACTCCCAGCCTGCGTATAGATGCATTCATTCAACTCTATACCAGGGAGGATTTTTTGCAGAGAATCCATCAAGGGTTCTTCATATTCTAAAAGTACCGATCTCCACACATCAGTGTCATAAGGCATATGCACAAACCATTTCGTCGCTATTGATTTTATGCCGCCATTTATTTTACTTGTATAGTATTGTATAACAACCTGCCCGATAGTGTCATATATTTCTCTGATTTCTTCTATTATGTTAATTCTTTGGTCTTGAGTTAGCACAATATACGTGACATATGATGAATTTCTGTCATAGTTGCATGAAATAGCAATGTATATTCCATCCAGCTCGCATTTTCCATTAAGTAGAACAAATGGTGCGCCGCATGCGGTCAAACGCACTTCACCATCATGTTCAACCTTTGCTTCTGTGTTGATCTTGTTGATACCAAATCCCGATTGAAGTTTGAAATTGAGTTCAGACTCTCCTACTACATCTAACAGTAAAGAGTAGGAAAATCCATACATGGGTGGCTGGTTTGTCCTCGCGTCTTGGGCTGGACACGTCTCTAGCTCTGCATGATTTCGACATTGTAAGCAATACTTGTTTTGAACAATGTCAAATAGGTCATATTGCGGGTCATATTCTCCCTCCTTACAGAGCTCTATGATGTTAGGATCTCTACATTCGAAAGAACATCCGGAATTGATAGGAACACATTTTTGTGAAGATGCACTTCCAAGGGCTTTTCGTGGTTGAGTGTATACATCACAACTCCTTCGAACAATACGAGAGTTATGTAATAATAATATGAGTTCGTTCCATCTAATTTCATTTTTTGGGAACCCAACACCATTTTTGCACATAACGTTCAAATCCCAAGGCACAACATCTGTAGCATCATTACACAAGGCACAGAAGTAATTGGAATAAACAATCTCAGTGTTAGAATCTGAGACTGGTACCATACCTTCAAACCCAGAATTCGTGTAACACTTTCTGATGACGGATTCGTCGCTGTAGCTCGGCTTACAGGTTTCTTTCATAAAGACATACTGATCGGGAGCATGCTTCTTGCACGTAAAATCAGTCGATCTCACGCGATCAAGCTCATCTTGGCTATAATTGCCACATTTCAACTTGTAGTCCTTGCAACAGTCTCCATAAATAGTGCAAGCATTGTCACAAGAGCACAAACTACCACCTTTGGTGTAATTTGCCCTATCCCCACATCTCCCACCGCATGTATTCGCAGGACAGTTCTGATACAGATCAATTGGCGAACCACATCTGCCAGTGTCCTCGATATCATCTTTTTGATAATTGTTAATTTGAGTAACATTAATTGCAGTACTGCTAGTTTGAGTACTGTTAAATTGAGAACCGTTACTCTGATTACTGCTAGGATTAGTATTGTTCAGCTGAGTTGCAATAAGATGAGTGTGGTTAAGCTGAGTAAATTCTGACTCCGCATTAAGTTTCTGATAAAGTATTGCCAATGTAACTGTCCACAACAATAATATTTTCATTACCATTTTTATCGTTTTAGGCGCACGTTGTGCAGTGAGGCTTTTGCTGTTAAGTTAGGTCATGCTTCATATAGGGTCTTCACAAATGGAATGATTCATCTTGGGTATCTTGTTCATATAAGTATCAATGTCTGATATAATATGGAGCCTGGAATAAGAAAAATCACATTACTGAAAACATTGCGACACATATGTTCATACTTTTTGTATTCTGTTTTAAAATAAAGTAGGAAGGTATGGGTTATAACCTTAATAAGGATCCTTGTGCTGTCTACTCTACTACATACTGATACTAGTATAACAAAAAATGACATAACTGTCTTCATTTCAGTTTTCACTTGACTTCAAACAACAAGGATGTGTTTTACACAAAAACTAAGCTATACACTCATTTCTCTATGCGTCATTTTAAACCTGAAAATAACAAGGACAGGTATTGCAATTATTTCAAAATATCACTTTTGAAGATCTACCTTAATCGCGTTAGTCTTTTTCAATACCTTGTGACACCCCCGCCAGGGTGTTAAAAACGCAACCTAAAGAAATCGCTATATCTTGGAATATACTAATCCAACTGTGTTCAATTTTTCAGGGGAGAAAGAAGAGACTAGCTCCTGTTGTTAGTTAGTTGTAAAACATGATGTCTCGGACACCTGCTCAAAAGACATTAGTATTAGAAAAATACGAAAAACGTGAATGGAAAATCTCTATACAGGGCGTATCAAAAAAAACGCAACAAGTAGTTATCTTGAAAAATCACAAAACTAGTGATGACTACATCAATTTCATTTAATGTATCATAAAGCCACATCTCTCCTCTTTCCGATGATATGTCTATCATTCACATGTGGTAATGGTTTTCAGATGACTCAGGGCTGAACCATGTATGACGTGGGCAGATGAGCGCATCTTTATGTGCGAGGAAGTGGTGGCAATTTGGAGGGGTATAGGATGTATTCTTGCAAGAGTATGAGTATGGACACTTTACTGTCTATGCCACACCTGTCACACCTTCTTCCAATAGCCCCTATGCCCTTTGTACTGGCTTTTGCAATTTTTAAAACTTGGGTCCGAGCAGAATTTTGCCCCACTTTGCAAAATTAATGATTATTCGGCCAGTCATGACTCCCTGTGAATGAATGATATTCCATTGCAAAGAGGAGTAATTTGGCTTTTTGGTACATTGAATGAAAAGGATGCAGTCAGCATTGGTTTTATGTTTTTTTTCCAATATTGCATTAGGCTCCGTGCACTGACTTTTGCGATGTTTATAACCTGGCCAAAAGCTAATTTTGGCCCACTTTGCAAATGGAATGATTACTCGCCCAATCATGACCAAATATCAATGAATGATATATCATTGTAAAGAGGAGACACGTGGCTTTATGGTGCATTGAATGAAATTAATGCTGTTATCATTGGTTTTGTGCTTTTCCGAGATAACAATCTGTTGCGTTTTTTTGATACGCACTGTACAGTATCTTGGAAAATACTAATTCAATAATATTCATTTTTCAGGAAAGAAAGAAGAGACTACATGTTTGTATCCTGTTGTTAGTTAGTTGTAAAACATGATGTCTTGGACACCTGCTCAAAAGACATTAGTATTAGTAAAATACGAAAAACCTGAATGGAAAATCGCTATATATAATCGGAAAATACTAATTCATTTTTCAGTAAAGAAAGAAGAGACTGTGTATGTATAGCTCTTGTTGTTAGTTAGTTGTAAAACATGATGCCTTGGACACCTGCTCAAAATGTGCTTATATTATCGCTATATATAATCGGAAAATACTAATTCATTTTTCAGTAAAGAAAGAAGAGACTGTGTATGTATAGCTCTTGTTGTTAGTTAGTTGTAAAACATGATGCTTTGGACACCTGCTCAAAAGACAGTTGTACTAGGAAAATACGATAAACGCAGTCAGGGGTGACTGCAACCACAAAAAACTAAATTAATTCCTAACCATTTGTTTTGGCTTTTCTTTGGCACAAATCATCTTCATTTAATGTATGGTAAATCTGTAGAGTGAAATTAAAATCACTCAAGGGATTTTACAGTCATGGTCAAAATGAAGATGATTTGTGCCAAATTTGAAGGCCAAAGCACCATCACGCGGTCCTAACTTCGACCGTTAATTTGAATTTTTGACCTACCGGATGTTTGAAAATCAAGGATTACAAGTCTCATGCTGCACCGTTTTTCTTCAAACTTGTTCCATTCAAAGCATAACCAAAATCCCTTTCTGATGGTACATTATTCTCTTAAACAGAGTCCCTACTCCCAGCGGCATTTTGGTCCCCAACTGTAAGAAGCTAAGGCCTTCTAACAGCAAAAACGCTGCTAGAACGAGGGACTCTTTACAATAAAGTAATGCACCGACAGAAAGGCAATTTTAATTTGCCTTTAATGTAATAAGTTTGAAGAAAAACGGTGCTGTATGAGACTCGCAATTCTTGATTTTAAAGCATCTGGTACGTCAAAAATTCAAATTAACGGTCGAAGTTAGTACCGCGTGACTATGGTTAGGAAGTAATTTGTTTTTTTGCGGTTGCAGTCACCTCTGGCTGCGTTTTTCGTATTTTCCTAGTACAACTGTCTTTTGAGCAGGTGTCAAAGGCATCATGTTTTACAACTAACCATCTACAAAAGCTATACATACACAGTCTCATCTTTCTTTCCTGAAAATGAACATAATTGAGTTAGTATTTTTCAAGATATATAGCGATTTTTTGGGGTTGCGTTTTTAACACCCTGTACTTCAAGGTGAAATACAAAGTGGGAGGGGACGAAATGCCTAACTTGCAAGACTATTATCACAAACATTGTTGACCAGATAAAGTAAATAATTCATTTACAATACTTTCAAGAAGCAAACTTTGACTTAAACAATTTATTTCACCTGCAAGGGTATTGAATCGTGATTCCAGATTTAATCTAGTAAACTCAAGAAGCTAGCATAGACATACATTGGGATTGTTTTTTAATTATGACATTATTTGATGATTTTTTGAACAGGCTTTTAAGATTATAATATTCATATATTATTTGGGTTAAACTATGAATACACTTTCATTTTTATAATTATAAATATACATTTATATTTTTATCACGCCATCGATGGGATATACATGTAGTCGTCATGATGACGGCGTGATTGTGATCGTTATCGTGATCGTCCCGCTTTTTTGTCATCGCGTTTTCAGGAAAACCGCTCATCGGATTTTCTCCAAACTTGCACACATGATCACGGGGTGTCATCGAAAAATTTGTCCAGCTTGATGGAGCATGCTATTTTTCATAAAAACACTAAGAAAACTTCACAAATTTATTTTCAACTCATACGTTTCGTTATACCAATGAAAATTAACTACTCCAAACTACTGCAATGAGTCTATCATTTGTAGATAACCTTCACTTCTGAGTGAAGTCCAATAATGCTATGAGTAAAAGTTATTGAAAACGGTGTCAGAGTATCATAATCAAAAGTGTATCTTTTAACTTTTAAATGGTACGATATAGTGACATGATAATATTTATATATGTTTTCAGCATAACTTTGAAGGTATGAATGAGATCTATATGTATTGGGTCTATGTATTGACCACCCGGGAATTCTGACAACTGCACTGGGCGAAAATAAAAGTGTACTCTTCAATGATACTTGTACCATGGGCTTTTAAGAGTTGAAAGCCCATGCTTGTACGAAGTCATGTGAACTGATGGGTTTATGAAATATTCATTGATTAAAATAAATGTTCACGGGTTAAAACAAATATTTTATATTTCTTTGAAATGCAAAGTGATCGTAGAGAATGATAATAAAACAAATATTTCATTCTATGTTCGGGCAAGGGCGTTACAATACCCGGGAATTTATCGGTTCGTCCAGTACTTGTTTGTGATAGCGCCCTCTGTAGGTCACTGTGCTTATAGCCTACAGTAATACGGGGTAGGATATCGGGAATTCGGTCAGTTTCTATCCGTCGATTTCGCTATGAATTGAAGCAAGTGTGACCACTTTATCCACTTAAACAATTTGATAATTGATTAAATCTTTAAACAAAATCGATAAACACGTTATACACTTCCTATCTCCTTAGAAATTAGCATGTATTTATGGATTGTGTTTTCGAACAAGGCTCGACCCACCCCAATAGGGAAATCCTTATGCTAATTAGTATGACGTCATATTTTCCTGGGGAATCCTAGATTTCAAGGCCTCAGTCTGTTATTGTGTCAAATGTAAACGCTCTTGGGACGCTCTTTTGCAGACAGAAAATTGACAGATTAGCTTTTAACTTTCAGCTTTGATGTTTAAATATTCTGTATTTCTACCGGACTTCTTGCTGAATATCATATAATGTTATAACTTGATTTGGATCATTGCCTGATTGATCATTCTGAAATTTTGATTGTGATTCATGATTGATTGGCAAGAAAAATAATTCCTATTGTTTTCCAGCGAAGTCAAAATGTTACAGCATGAGTTATAATGTCGAGTTTGCATCATGTTAAATTCTGCTAGTGATTAGAAGTCAATGCACAAGCATACACATAAGAGACAAACACACCCAGGCTCCAGGCCGTGGATGGAAATATAAAACTATTTAAGGCACAAACTGGTATTAATATACCGATATGTAGTGTCTGCCATGTATTGAAGGTAAACCAATCTGTATTATTAATGTTTCTTCTATCAATACATGGGTTGTGCAATAGAAAAGCAATGGCACAATCAAAAATGTGCATATCAATCGTGAATATCTCTCGGTTCAAAGCTTATTTCCAACAGAATCGTGTCAAAATATGTGTCTGAGTAACAGTTATACATTATAAGATCGCAAACTCTTACCAATTATCAGCCGAATGGCTCATTTTCAACGAAATGTCCTTAAGACAACAGCCCTGGGTCGCGCCTGAGACCAAAAACTACTTCAAATAGCCCTCCCCTAATTATATTGGATAATCACATTTATGCGTGCGCGCGCAGCTCATCCAATGAACGAAACGCCACTTCCCGCTGAAATCACCGGGTATTGATCTTTCCCTTGGTTCGGGCAATACCTGTTGCACTTTCAATGATTTTAGCAGCATGTATTTTCCTCGCACTACGACCGAAGTAATATATGACCGAAAGATTTTATCCTGTTCATTGTTAAAAGACCGAAATCGGTCGTTCGGGTTACAGAAAACGTTTGTGCCTAGTCCTGCGGGATGTATTAGTCGATATAACACCTACTCTGAGGTCTATAATATTACGATTCGAACATGAAACCTCACCAAAGTTTTTCGAATATTCATTAAATGGTCCGCCATTACTTCGGCTCGCAGTTATGACGTCACACATTACTCGTATTACAAGGGGTAGTGTTGACGAATATACCCCGGGTGAAATGTTGACTTTGAATTTCGCATTCAGTGAAATTCGAAAGGAGGTAAGATTCTTAAAGCTGACACTCTCAGCTTTCGAACGGTGTATTGACCTAAGTGCAGTAGAGGTAAATTAAAAATCACTAACGAGCGCACTTAGACACTCTATTTTGCACGAGTATTGTTTTATTTTTTGGGTTTGATTGACGCACAGAAAAAAGTGATTTGGACTATAGTCCACCTCCTAACACCCCAGTCACATTTGTCGCACGGAGGCCGTGCGTCGACCGCAGATCAATTAAATAAGTGTATTTCTGCGGCGAGCGTAGGAAAACTACGCTCGCCTTGCGGCCTCCGTACGGCGTATCCAGTTTTTACAGGCCGCAGGGTCGCCGTAGAAATTATAACTCGGAGTTATAATATTTGTTCATTTCTGAGGTCCCCGTAGAAATCAACTGGCTCAACAAGATTGAATCATTATTTGTCAATGTTTCACGATCACTTTTCATTTGATATTACATCCTAGCACTATGAATAACATTTATCAATTGTCCCGATGTAAATAAAATGAAAAAAAAATATTTATCAACAGAAATTTAAAATTCAACGTGCGGCTGCCGTGGGAAATGTGACTGCGAAAGTATGAGAGCGCAGAAATTCCGCGGCGAGTACTGGTCGCAGAAATGATAGACCGCAAGGTCGCCGTAGGAAATGTGACTGGGGTGTTACACAAAAATATTTCAATTCATTGATATATACAGCTTCCAGAAACTTTCTTTTCTAAAAACATTAAAGTTTAAAAAGTATTATTTTCCTTACTGGGAAGTACGACAAGTTCCAAATTGAGAAAAAAAATTACGTGCACACTTTTCTTTTTCGATCACAAACGGCGTGCCAAGCAATATTGCATCGTACGAGTTGTGTGTTTTCAAACGTCATTTTAAGACTTTTATGGTTTTCTCGTTTTTTAAATGCGTTCATTCGTAAAACCTGAAAAAATTAGAAAATTAGAAAGGTTGTCATTACTTTTTGAAACTCCAATTAACCTAAAAACCAATGTCACGTTGGCAACAAACTGAACAAGTCAGTGTCGTTTGTTATCTATAAATGAACGATTTCAACAGCTTAAAAAATTCAAGGCAAGTCCACGTGTTGATACGGTACTGGTGAATGTTGAGTTACTTATATTAAGATATCTAGGTTTACATCGGGGGAAATGAGAGCTTTTTTAAAGTAACTTCGTCTCTACCTAATGTTCTTTTGGGGACCCGTGTCCTCCCCGTCTGCCATTTTGAAATAGCCACGTGTATTGGTTCAATTTTTCAACCTCCAATAATTTCAGAAAAGAAGTACTATAAATACTAATATATATAAAGTATATTGATTGTATTAAGTCTCATATTTAAGGAAAAAAGTATTCCTTATACACTTCATGCTCTTCTTGATATAAGTCGACAGTCATACCTGTAACAAATACCAATGATTAAAAAATATTTCCAAAAATACAAAGTACAGAGAATTTAATTTTTCGGTTGCCGAGATAATAATTGTCAAAAAGTGGCTCATTTTTGGGACACCCGATATAGCATGATATGAGAGAAATGCTTAAATTAAATAGAACACCATCTGTATATATTAATTATCCAACTGGATTCACGACTCACTGCCCTAAAATTATTATAGTGCAAAAGGTCATTTACAAAAAATGAAAAATCTGAAAAAACTAAATGAGCCACACCCAATGAAGTCTGCCTTGAATTTTATTGTTGCAATGGAACCCTTATTATCTGATTAGAGGCGAGAACCTTAAAAAAATGTATTCGAAATAATAGCTTGCTTCAATGAATGATTTACCTATTGGACAATACCGTGATAACTGATGCTCCGGTGAGTGCGTTTATTACTCGATCGAAGATACTGCTCTTCAAAGTTACTCCACGGACAGTTCTCTAGAATTACGTTCACGTTACACCTCGTCTCCAAATTCAATTTCAGTAATTGTGGAGCAACTTGAATCGAATGGCTTTCCTCCGAGTTTTTCCTGACTATGAACTCTTTTAGCGTTGTTGTGCGTTGGCTGTTTTGTCAATGCTGCGAAATGTCTACGATGACAATACTGCGATTGTAATCGCATCCAAGATTGCCTTTTTATTTTTTGTCAAACTTTTATGATAAAGGTTTGAGAAAAACACTATTAGACAAATTTGGATGCAATGTACCCATTCGCAGACGAGTGTTATATCAGTTAACTTATAAAATCTGGTTTTTCTTTGCTAAATGCATCATTGTCCATGGAGAGTGCATGGACCTCTACCGTCCATACTATATGTAATCTCATTCGAATTTATAGCTTATATACTATTTTCTGACATCCGTCAATCAAATTATGTTGGAGGTAGGCTTGAATAGCCGTAGACAAATCAAAATGCATGAACAATTTCATCTGCAGAGTAACTTAATTACCTATCTTTGAATAGAATACTAGTAAATGCATTAAGCAGCCCCGCCTCTCCGACGGGGCCATCACACCAAGGGTCGTGAATCCAACATTACATTTCCTCAACCAATAAGCAAGCAGAAGAAAAATGTTTTAATAATCAGAATAATGCTTCAATAATTAATAAGTATAGGGTGTCCCAAAAATGTACCGATATAAACACGGAATAACTAGATTAGTGAGTGATAAAGGAATATTTTCGAAATTTGATAATCGGATACACATATTCATTATAAATATCTGAACGTTTCACCACGTGACTCTATTTAGTTCTAGAGAAAAGTATGTTTTAAAACCACCCAATATATCAATGTTGTACTGAGACAAACATGAAGTAACCCTGTAAGCAATGAAATTCAGTCATCCAGCCCCATAGCCAGCTATCTATTGCTAAGAGGGTGGACATTTTTTAATTTCAAGGCGGTTCACTTACGACAATTTAGGTTCAAAAATGGCGAAAGTCACTTAAGGGCCTGGTCATCTAACACTGAGTTAATTTGTTTATCATACAAATCTGAGTTTCCTAAGGCAACTCCTTTAGTACCATCGCCCATTTTCAACGATTGCAATTATATTCATTTATGCATTCTTGCGAAAACAATTTCTGATCACCATGGACTTCTACCAGTTCCTTTCTCATATGGTTGACTCCTCAAGTTCAGAGGGGGTGAAGGTATCTTCTAAGAAGCTTTGGGTAAAACAAATGCCAATGGCATTAATACTATCAGTAAGCAGATTGAAGATACTTTGATAATTGATATGTGGTCTTCAGGATATTTCATTGGATTCAATTAATCAGGGACCAATTGTTCACTACATGAAATATGTGCGTCAACAATTCCATAATGCTCTCGATCTTTTCTTCTAGATATCAAATCTTAGGAAATCACATATTGGTCCATTGTGCCATAAATAATAAGGCTTAAATATGCCTTTCAATTAATGTAGTTCATATTCCATCAAAACAAGTCTTCTAGTTTCTAGAAAACCCATGGTCATCATCGTTTTTTTGAGTCGTGGCCATTTTGGAATTTTTTATTTACTGTATGACACAAAAAATGACACCCACACACATGATGTTTTAAAACGTTTTGTCTGAAGAAATTCTGACTAGTTTTTTCACACATTAAAAGTACACTCCATTTTGCAACTCCATAAGAAGTTTCAGATGACTAACTCACCTAGATGCACATTTATGAGCGTTACAAAATGTGTCGTCTATTCCTTTGCAGGCACAACTGGATCTTACACAAAAAATGACACCTACCCTTTGTAACATAATTCTGGAAATAAGTTAATCAATGACAACTACATTATTTTGTGTTTAAATGAATGGACTTCATTTCCCTGAAAGTACAAGCCAAAATCATCAGTATTTACAAAGTTATGTTACAAAAGCTGGGTGGCATTTTTTGTGTAGAATCCATGTGTGTCTGCAAAGGAATGGACAACATTTAGAGCAAGTGTTGTAACGCTCATAAAATTTGACCCACTTGAGCTACACATCTGAAATTGTTAAACAAGTAATGCAACGTAAGGTGGGTGTCATTTTTTGTGTCACCGTGTACTGAAAGGCTAGGGCGGATGGAGAGCCGGATGGATGCAGACAGATGAATGCACAGACAGATGGACAGATGAACAGCTTCTCTATATCCCTCTAGGCTACTTTTAAAGATAAATGAGTGTTCACTGATCAATATCAAGCGAAGGTAACGGCCGTCACCTTCGCATCAAAGATGGTGGACGGAAAGTGTCGGTTTTGATATTTTTAGTTTTCATCGAATTAAACTACTTTATAGTTGACGTAATGCTTTGATATTTGAATCAAATCAGACTCATATGACATGAGAACTATGGAATATGATAATTTGTTAATATATCATGCGTGAGCACCACAGTTACCTTAGCTTCCCTTAAGCGGTGGAAGATATCCTTGAACTGTGGCGCCTACGCATTGTATATGAACAAATAATCTTACCCCAGATTTCCCATGTCATATAAGTCGGGTCACAAATCGCCGTCCACAAAAAAGTTGGAGACTATAACAATATGTCACCATGTGTGGTGATGACATAATATACACACACTAAATAAGTTGTGACAAGTTGTTACAAAATCTCTCTTGCATAATAACTTTAGTGAAATGCCTGGGAGGCATGAACAACTAAATAAATAAAGAGTTATTCTATTAACATGTTACTAACATGTTAAATATTTAATCTTTATCAATCAGTAACATGTATGCCTCAGCTTTATTTTTGTCAGTCTCTGGTGAACTGTAAGCCTTGAGCTGTTTCCCTCCATCATATAACTCTTTGATCGTTCCGTACATGAACACAAAGAAAAATAACAAATCATCATATTGTCCTGTATATTCTGATGGCACGAAGCTTTGGTGATATTCCAGCTGGAAATAATAGATGGCCTCAATTGTTGCTAAATATGTGCGTGGTTTGTCCTTTTGATGACGCCAAAACTTAGTTTCCCTACTTTTTAACTCTATACATTGTAAACCTGAAATATATACATGTAGATCAGTTTTCTTATTCATTTTTCATCAATTAAGATATACATGTTACATATAGTGACAATATTTACAATATGACCACTCAATTAAAAATGGCATATAGCTTTTGTTAAAAATGTAATCTTTGATAACTCAGATACCATTTGACAGATTTTGGTTAAAATTTCATATGTTGATGACTTTTGGACATGTATGTTGAAAACCCCTTTTTTTATTACACTAAAATAAGGAATCTAAATATACATACTGTAGGTTAACATTGTCATGAAGTGTTCAGTAAAAATTACATGCACAGAATTTAAAATATGGAAATACTTTTTTTACTGAACATCTTACATCCTCAATTTCATAAAAATAATCTAAACAGTGAACACCTGTGTCTAGTGGACACCTCTTTTCACATACTCTACTGAGTGCTGAGTAAATTGTCTCTCTGTAGTGAACACTTACCTACAGTGAACACATTTTTTTGCAATACACACAGGTTTAACTGTATTTCCAATAATGACGAGGTGATGTCAAATGCCAGTTATGGCTAAAACAAAACACCACCAGTTCTCAGATGTGATATGATAACACGTTAGGACATTACCTCTTGGTAGTCACTTTACATACCTTTGAGCCTCTCATCATTGTAGATCTTCTTGGTCTGATTCCATGTGCTATCAATGAACACAACAGTGTCATATGGACTGGTGTACTTATCTCCTATATACCAGCACACTGGGTCTTGTCTGTTGTGATATCTGTTTTTATCACTTTACATGGTGGTTCCTTTATTTCATCGCTAGCTTCTGTGTCCTGGATGGTGCTGTCATCTTTATGTAGAGGTGCACATTGTTTTATAAGTTGCTCAAATGTTAGAGATTCCTTACAGGGAAACACCAAAAGTGTCTGGAAAAATACATTTTCATTATATTTTCTGTATGTAAGGACAACAAAGCTTTCTCACCAACTGTTAAGTTACTGTAAGTTGTTTCAAAATATTTTTACAATCTGTTACAGGCACTTACTTTTATATTTAAGGAGAAGATCATTTTCCGAAATCTTTGCAAAGATTGACATTGCATTTCAAAAAGAAGGTTTGTCTACACTCTTTATAAGAGAAAAAATTCTTTATCTACAGGGTTTAATAAACCAATGTCTCCATAGTATGTGTCTAATATCATTTTAAAGCTAATCCAAAATTCCATTGATCTGCCAAGGATCATGGTCTACATGTATATAGAAATATCAGTATCAAAACTGTAATTTCATTTTAGAAACTCAGAGCAGGATTATAGTTTACTTATGTTTTTAAGGTTATCATTCCCTCACTGGGATATATTTGAATGAGATGGTGTTTTATTTGTCATATCATAATTTACAAGGACATATGTGCATGGTGCAATGTTATGAAGCAATACAGTGCTGTTCTGTTCTAGCGTCTGCCTTTGTCAGGTAAACAAGTATAACACAGGATAACACAAGTCTTAAAAGCTTACATGTGAAAACATATTACATTCACCAAGGTTATCTTAGTTCACAATTTGTACATTATATGTACAATTGAATTGTATGGAATATTAGAAATAAAAATCGAAAAATGATTTTTCCTGTTGTATACTATCTGTCCGTCTAATGGTTTTCATTTTTGTGCTAAATGTGTGAACATGGCTTACTCTTAATACTCCAAAGCATGAAGTTCGATAGGATATACTTGTAACTGGACATCTCGGACCCAAGACAACTCGGGCCCAAGACAACTTGGACCCAAGACATCTCAGACCCAAGACAACTTGGACCACTTTTTAAAATGATGATTTTTATCATAATATTGGGTTTAATTTTTTGTTTCAGGTTTAGCATGACATAATATTATATATAATAATATTGTTTTAATTTGATGAAAATGTCTTAATTTGATGAAGTCTATTTACATTATCAGTTTTCTTTCGGTTGGGGCTAAGAACACATTGGGGTTTAACATGACCTATGAGGAAAAGACTAATCCTTAACTTTTTGAAGAGTATATGTCATACTAAATTCAAAACAAAATATTTAAAACCCCATATTAATATAATGATAAAAGTTTTGAAATTATTATTTTTATTAAAAAACTGGTCCGAGTTGTTTTGGGTCTTTAGCTTCAATATTTTCTAACTTCTTAAAGGACAAGTCTCGGTTTCGAGAACAGTCTTCTGGGCTAATATTTATTTTTAATGAAAAATATAGAAATATCACCCAAATCAAATTATGGATATTCAAAAGAAGACATTTAAATTTACAATATGTAAAAATGTCAACAATAGAGATGTTAAGATTAGCGTAAAAATATACGTATACCTATCCCTATCCGTATGTTTGTTACGGATACGTATAGGTAATTCGCTTTGTAAACTGAGTTCAAGATTAACGTAAAAGGCTACGAAATCGTATGCAACAATTTATGATAAAAATGACATCCTAATTATACCGTGCGGTGGCCTGTATGGTATTTGCCAGAATATGTCAACACCAAGAACGGCCATTTATAGGTAATTACGTATCGCAAACCCTGTAACTTAGGTAAAATACCGCTTAGTGCAATAACAAACTACGTATAGGTATAGGTAATGGGCAATTTACGCCAATCTTAACCTCCCTATTGTCCAAAGCAGATGTAGCGTGCAGTAGACTGATAAACTTCGTTCTCCAAACTGAGACTAATAAGTGACCTTTATGGTACCCATATAAATTTTAGACCTTCCCCTAAAACATGTGAGAATATCAGCCCATTAATGCATTTTTGGACCACCCTGTATTTGATATGTGGATCAAGATATTATATTTCAGCAAAAAAATGCTCAAACCATCGAAAATCAATTTTAAACTATTGAATATCTCTTCTTAAAAAGTGATATTCGATAGTTTTAAAAGTGATATTCGATGGTTTCGATTTTTTTCAAAAAAATATTACATTTTTTAAAATTCTTTTTCAAAATTTAAAAAAAATTCAAATTTTCATTTTAAAATTTTCAAATTTTTGAACATTTTTTTCAGAAATTTTTTTTCAACATTTTTTTCAACATTTATTTTCAAAATACTAAAAAGTTGAAAAAACTTTTTTTAAAGCATTGAAAAGAAATTTTTAAAAAATCTAAAAAAAATTCTTTCAAAAATTCTGAAAAAGGATTTTAAAAAAGTAATAAAACATCGAATATCACTTTTAAAACCATCGAATATCACTTTTAAGAAATGACATTCGACAGTTTAAAAGTGATATTCGATGGTTTGAACATTTTTTGCTGTATATGATATCTTGATCCACATATCAAATATATCTTCATGTGATATTTGATCTATATCCTTGCAACCATGGGATAAAATGATATTTTTTCAAAACCATAGGATATACCAATAGTATCCGACAAATCGAATCTGTTTGACGCCATTTTGAAAACTGTCAACTAAAATTATTATATACAAATTATCTTTCCCGTTTCTAGGCCTTTAGGGATGTTTTTGTAATGCCGATACGAGGAGTCCTAAACATGTTCTTCGGGTTGGTAGTATAAAACAAAACAAAAATTCTTCCAGTAAACCTTTATTTATTTAAATAGTATATATTAATGATAATCGTTATGTATTGGTCATAATTTTCAAGTCCATATTTGCAGGACCGTCATAAAGAGAATATATTTGAGATGTTCCAAAACACACACTTTGTTGTTATCTTTGGTTCATTTTTGTCATGGTTCTACTCTTGGGAGGGTACGTGTTCATATAGAATACGGTAATCCGGGACTTGATCAATAGTGCCCATCATGGATGTAGAATACCTAGTGGTGACATCTCCAAACCAAACCAATGATTTTCACATGCTGTTTTATGATAAAAAATGTTATAAGGCACATGCAGCGCATATTGTCAATATCAAAATTATAAATTCTGGTGGCGACTTGTTTGCAACTGTAGAGGTGCCACTTTTAATCGTCTTCGTGTGATTCGATACAGCTGTACTATTTTCGCTCGATATATCGATTGTTTTTCTCGGAATAACCGTACTCCCAGCCTTGGTATAGATGCATTCATTCAACTCTATACCAGGGAGGATTATTCGCAGAGAATCTACCAAGGGTTTCTCATATTCTAAAAGCACTGATCTCCAGACATCAGTGTCATAAGGCATATGAACATACCATTTCGCTATTAATCTTATGCCGCCATTCATTTTACTTGAAAAGTATTGTAAAACAACCTGCCCGATAGCGTCATATATTTCTCTGACTTTTTCACTTATCCTAATTCTTTGGTCTTGAGTTAGCGCAATATACGTGACATTTGATGAATTTCTGTCATAGTTGCATGAAATGGCAATGTATATTCCATCCAGCTCGCATTTTTCATTAAGTAGAACAAGTGGTGCGCCGCATGCGGTCAAACGCACTTCACCATCATGTTCAACCTTTGCTTCTGTGTTGATCTTGTTTATACCAAATCCCGATTGAAGTTTGAAATTGAGTACAGACTCTCCTACTACATTTAACAGTAAAGAGTAGGAGAATCCATACATGGGTTGCTGGTTAGTCCTCACTTCTACAGCTGGACATATCTCTAGCGCTGCATGATTTTGACATTGTAAACAATACTTGTTTTGAACAATTTCAAATCGGCCATATTGCGGGTCATATTCTCCCTCCTTACAGAGCTCTATGATGTTAGGATCTCTACATTCCAAAGAACATCTGGAATTGATAGGAACGCATTTTTGTGAAGATGCACTTTCAAGGGCTTTTTGTGGTTGAGTGTATAGATCGCATCTCCTCTCAACAATACGAGAGTTATGTAATAATAATATGAGTTCGTTCCATCTAATTTCATTTCCTGGAGACAAACCACCAGCTTTTTTACACATGACGGTCAACTTCCAAGGCACGATATCTCTAGCATAATTACACAGGGCACAGAAGTAATTGGAATATACAATCTCAGTGTTAGGATCTGAGACTGGTACCATACCTTCAAACCCAGAATTCGTGTAACACTTTCTGATGACGGATTCGTCGCTGTAGCTCGGCTTACAGGTTTCTTTCATAAAGATATACTGATCGGGAGCATGCTTCTTGCACGTAAAATCAGTCGATCTCACGCGATCAAACTCATCTTGACTATAATTGCCACATTTCAACTTGTAGTCCCTGCAACAGTCTCCATAAATAGTGCAAGCATTGTCACAAGAGCATAAACTACCACTTTTGGTGTAATTTGCCCTATCTCCACATCTCCCACCGCATGTATTCGCAGGACAGTTCTTATACATATCAATAGGTAAACCACATCTACCAGTGTCCTCGATATCATCTTCTTGATAATTGTTAATTTGAGTAACATTAATTACAGTACTGCCAGTTTGAGTACTGTTAAATTGAGAACCGTTACTCTGATTACTGCTAGGATTAGTACCATTAGTGTGGTTAAGCTGAGTAAATTCTGACTCCGCATTAAGTTTCTGATAGAGTATTGCCAATGTAACTGTCCACAACAATAATATTTTCATTGCCATTTTTATCGTTTTAGGCGCACGTTGTGCAGTGAGGCTTTTGCTGTAAAGTTAGGTCATGCTTTATATAGGGCCTTCACATATGGAATGCTTCATCTTGGGTATCTTGTTCATATACGTATCAATGTTTGATATAATATGAAGCCTGGAATAAGAAAAATCACATTACAGAAAACATTGCGACAAATATGTTCATACTTTTTGAATTCTGTTTTAAGATAAAGTAGGAAGACATGGGCTATAACCTTAATTAGGATCCTTGTGCTATCTACTCTACTACATACTGATACTAGTAGCATATATCAAAAATGACATAACTGTCTTCATTTCAGTTTTCAATTGATTTCAAACAACAAGGGTGTGTTTTACACAAAAACTAAGCTATACACTCATTTCTCCATGCCTCATTTAAACCTGAAAATAACAAGGGCAAGTATTGCAATTATTTCAAAATGTCACTTTTGAAGATCTACCTTAAAGGTGCAACAATTAGTACATGGGAGGCATTCAACGATTATTGACCAGTGTCAAAATATATTTAAGTTTGGATATTTCATCAAGACTAACATATATTTTTATTATCTACAATGAAACCCCCTGGATGAACATTAATTCAGCTGATATTCCTCTTGAAACGCAGTGAATCTTAAAAATCTATAAGTGGGACTCCCTTTATAGAAAAGGGAGCCTGTAGAGTATTTCTTGGATTAGGCAGGTATACACCCAACCTTGCTGTCCAGGGCGAGATGGGGTGGACCTCACCATTTGAAAAACAGGTGAAGAAAAACCATAAGTTTAACTTGCGACTTCAGTCTCTTAGCCACAATAGGTTGACCAACCGTATTTACTATTGGAATGTTTTACGTGCTAACAGTGGAAAGAACAAGACACACAGTGAGAAATATCGCACTTTGAAGAGCAAACTGGCCACCATGCAATTTACCCAGCATTACCAAAACCTAATCAGACCTTGGCACCAGTCTGCTCTTGCATCTGTAAACATTTCAAGTTGACAAGGTTAGCGGTTTTCCTGCAATTTTGATGACAAGAATTTATTTGTAGTCTTGAACTTTGGGAAAATTTAGATAACATTGTTTGTGACCTAATTTGATGACCTTCGACCTTGAAAATTTCACTTTTTCAGACCTCAGTAGGTGTTTTGTAATTAAGCTGACCTAAATTTAAATCCAAAATATCAATTTAGAAAATCAACTTTTTTGACCTTTTCAAGGTCACTGAAGGTGAATGAAAGGTCAAATCTGAAATCTGAGGTCAGATTTAAACTTCTGAGAACTTGTAGATGTTTTAAAAAAAAAGATTTGGTCAATTTGAAAATTGACCAAATTGACCGCCAAATTGAAAAATTCAAAATGGCCACCATGTAATTCAGCTAGCATACATAAAACTTAATCAGATCTTGGCAATAGTCTGCTCTTGCATCTGTAAAAATTTCAAGTTGAACGGATAAGTGGTTTTCCTGGAATTTTGATGAGAAGATTTGTTGAAAAATTCAAAATGGCCGCCACGTAGTTTACCCAGCATGCCCTTAACCTAATCAGATCTTGGTACTAGTCTGCTCTTGCATCTGTAAAATTTTCAAGTTGAACAGGTAAGCAGTTATCCTGGAAATTTGATGACAAGATTTGGTTTATGTGCCGCCCGCACGCCCGCCCTCCCGCCCGCCCAACAGCACAAGACGACGACAATATAGCACTTTTTCAAAGTGCGATAAAAACACCTTATACCACCTGAGGCAGGTTTACGATTCTCTCTGGGTTAATGATGACGACCCGGTGTCGGCGATTGTGTCGCCTCTGGAACGTCAAGTGCAGAACAACTGGCAAACAAGACTCTGGGACGATACAAAGCGGCAACAAGGTCAAGGAAACAAACTCAGAACTTTTAGAACCTATAAACATGACATAAAAATAGAAAGATATGTTACATCAATACTTTCTATTTCTCAAAGAAAGTCATTTGCTTCTATAAGATGTGGTGTAGCACCAATCAGAATAGAAACTGGTCGTTATGAAAGGCTGCCAGTTGATGAAAGGGTGTGTCCTTTATGTTATAATGCAATTGAAAACGAAAGACATGTAATTTTGAACTGTTCTCCTTATGAAGACATCCGTTTAGACTTGTATGCAAACGTTCCTACTATTGTAACTGGTTTCATGAATTTAGATGCAGAGAGTAAATTTCAGTGTTTAATGTCTAATGACAGAATTTGTCTCTTCACTGCAAAAGCCTGTGACCGGATGCTTAAACGACGGGAACATTTTATTTACAAAACATGATTTATATGTTTTTACAAAAGTGTCTTATAGGCCCATAGGGGGCCTGGGGTGATTTTAACAGTGTACTATTGTTTTATATATGTAATTGTATTTTAACTCATGACACTATAATAAAATTAAAATAAAATAAATAAAAATAGAAACTTTGAACTGAATTTACACATCTTAATGCTGAAATTAATAGTTTATCCATACATTTTAAGAAAATAGGTATGTCAAAAAAGATGTCAAGCCATATATTGACCTGATAGCTCAGAAAAAATAAAAATTTATGAATTTTCTCTCGACAGTCCTTGCTGCCCCTTTGATCGCGTTAGTCTTTTTTGCAATACCTTGTGACACCCAAGCCAGGGTGTTAAAAACGCAACCTAAAGAAATCGCTATATCGCCCTATGAGAATAAAAATGTCCCAACTCACATTTTTGTGAAACTGAGAAATAAATTTTGAAAGTTTAGACATCTGTAACTGCAATACTATCTCTCTGTCATTTGTGAAGTTTTTACATTCTTTTTATCAAAAAATTGGGTATATACACTAAAGAATTCATGAATTTTAAGATTTTCTCTGCCAATTTTTAGCATATTAAAAACGGAGATGGGACAATTCAATTCCGAGATTTTCGTAACATCGAAAGATTAAAGCTTAGCTATGTCCAATTTGCTTGTATTTCAATGGACACAAATTTCTCTATCAGTATTTTTCAGAAATAAATTCAAATCTCAGTTTAAAATTGCAATATAATAATTCTTAGTCACATGGTGTAATTCAAACAATTTGATTGGTTAAACACCCCGGGTTAGCCTGACTACGGTAAAGTCAGATACCGTTGTCACAAATGGCGGACATAACCGTCGCTTCAATTAGATTTTCATGAACTGTATGTTTAATAGAGCACCTAGACTAAATTCCTTTGGAGCAACAATCAATCAAAGTGTCTTTATACTCATTGTACAGTTAATAATGTTCTACTACGAAATAAAGTCTTTAATTTAACCGATCAAAATGAGATACGGGACAACGGACACTGTAATTACCATATGCCGCTGTCTTTCTAAATTACTCAATTCAGATTCCGTTGTCATTGATGATATCGAAGAGGCTATATTGTGGCGATTCACGACCCAATTTGACCGAAAATGAGATTTCATATGATACATTATCACAAGAGCTTAATGCATGCACAGAATTAACGACGATAAAATCCCATGAAATGAGGACCAAGTGATTAAACAGTTGAAGCGACGGTTATGTCCGCCATTTGTGACAACGGTATCTGACTTTACCGTAGTCAGGCTATTCCGGTGTGTTAAAGTAATACATAGAACAAAGTTAAATTGTATTTTTGAATTTTTTATGGAGTTAGGACAATTTGACACTGAAAAGCAGGCTATTGAGAGGAGATTGGGGTAAGGGAATATCACAGTAGGAAAGAGGATGATTCGAATAATGAAAATCTATGAAAATCTCAGTTATTATTCTCAACCGACGATAAATGATATCCTTGACCACTAAAACTTAAACATGGTCTCCAAAATCACTGTTCGTAACCATTCTTTGAGCTTAAATCTATATTTACATATGCGTTTTGGCACCCATTTTTGCCATTTGGCCATCTTGGATTTCTATAAAAAGTTATTATTTGATGACTCTGATTTAGACATAAATGAAATCCGTGACCCCTAAAATATACATGGGCTCCAAAATCACTGTTCTTAAGAGTTTTATTTAGCTTAAATCAGTAGTTACATATTCGTTTTGGCACCCATTTTGGCAACCATCTAGGATTTCTCTGATTTAGACATAAATGAAATCCCTGACCTCCAAAACACAGACATACGAGTTTTTGCATCTCAGTGTGCTTAGAGATATCCATTTTTATATTGTAACTCGTGCACCGGCGGCCATTTTGAAAAATGGGTGATAACACCCATTTAGCTACCACTGTTGCAATGCTATCCCATATTTTATTTCTCTAGAGGTCTTAACCTTCCCAAAAATCAATATGGTGATTATTCCCCCTAACTTGATACCGATAGCCTAAATTTTGGGGCGAAGCTGATGAACTATTTAAGATGTTTATATTTTTTCTCGTTAGCTCACATGGTGAGTTTTTGCAATCACTCAATTGTCCGTCTGTCCGTCCGTCCGTCTGTCTGTCCGTCCGGCAACAATAGTGGCACGTTTTAAAACCTCTGTCGATAGGATTCCTGTTTTAAGTTATTTCTGTTCAACATCAATACAGAAAACTCCCCTATGACTCTTGGCTCAAAAGCTCGCCTATTTTCAAAATGGCCGCCATTTTTGTCTCGCGAAATTCACTTTTGACCCATTTCCTAGCTTTACAAATAATTTCATGTGTCCTAAATTGTAAAAATCCATGTCAATGTAAAGAGTAGATGTATGAAATAATTTTGTTACGAAAAATCAGCAAAAAATTTTATCCATTTTTTTTATTTTCAGCCATTTTAGTTAACATTGATTTGTCCATCTGTCTCGCAAAATCCACTTTTGGACCATTTGCCTTAATTTAAACCCTCTGTCGATAGGATTCCCGTTTTAAGTTAATTTTGTTCAACATCAATACAACAAACTCTCCTATGACTCTTGGTTCTAAAGCTCGCCTATTTTCAAAATGGTCGCCATTCTGGTCTCGCTCAATTCACTTTTGGCCCATTTCCTAGCTTTACAAATAATTTCAGCTGTCCTGCATTGTAAAAAGCCATGTCACTGTAAAGAGTAGTTGTATGAAATAATTTTGTTACAAAAAATCGGCAAAATATTATATCAGTTTTTTTTCATTTTCAGCCATTTTAGTTAACATTGATTTATCCATCTGTCTCGCGAAATCCTCTTTTGGACCATTTGCCTTAAAACCTCTGTCGATAGGATTCCAATTTCAAGTTATT